TGCCCCCAACCTCTCGCGCACCCCGCCTCTTCGCAGCCAAGATGGCTCCTCCTGCGCGGATCCGACCCGAGGGGATGCCATCCTGCCTAGCATCGCCACGACGTATTAATATTTAACGGGGAGGAACAGATCCTGAGACTTTGATTTCTCCCACTGGCCAATTCAAGGATAACTGAAGTGCGTGGGGAATTTCAGCGTTTCAGACGATGGGTTTGTGCTAGTTCACAACAAAACCCAACCATGCCGCAACGCGTTACGAGAAGGATGGCAGCCCGGTGTCAGGCAGCGTCCCTGCGGCACAACACACGACAGAGCTCAGGAGATGCCTGCAGGCAGGTTCTGCCCAAACCCTGCTCCCCCAGAACTGAGGGGGGGGAAAAAAAAAAGAAAATCAAACTCTGCTAATAAGGAAAAAGAATGTGTTTTTCCCCGAATGTTTCTACCCAGTTCCTGAACTGTGACCCCAAAGCAACGTCAATTTGCCCTCATCACATCCCTCCAGCAGAGGCAGCTCCTCCTGCACAGGCAAAGCAAGCGAGGCACGGCGAATTTTAACACACGTGCCCAGGGTCACGCAAGAAATCAGCCACAAAGGCAAAACGAGCCCAGCGTTTCTGGGTCCCAGCTCTGGGCTGCGTCAACTATTGCTTTCTCATATAAATCACTTTTCCCCACCCGTCAAGGACAGCCGGTCACCGAATGGAAAGTGGCAGTTGTTCAGCAGCCCACAGCAACGCTGCGCACCAGCTTAGGGTGGGAACCGGAGAGCACGCAGCATGCAGAGGAGACTGCCAGGGGATCTGGGCCAGCTGAACAGAGACACAGAAGCCAGAATCTGGCCACCGCAAAGCCCAGCGCTCCTGCAAAAAATCATGACAAGTTAGAAACCTGACAGGAGAAAGTCTCCCAGGCTTCTGCCAGCAGAGCAGGTACCTCTGCCCCAGCTCTTGCTCCAGGCAGCAGAGCTAGAAGCCCATTCTGTTCTGCTGCTGTGGACAGTGGTTACGAGAGCCACCGAGCAGCTCTCAGAGCATGACCTCATCTGCTGAGCACCACCACTGACCTAACCCAGCCAGCCCCTTCCAACTACAGGTCTTGGCAAGCAGAGACATCCAGTTTTAACCAGTCTCCAAAGCAAATATTAGAGGTGGCCTTGAATCTAAACCTCTACCACCAGTTTCAAGGTTTGGAGGGACAGATAAATCTTCAGGTCTGGATTTATCTCTGACCTTTGTTTCAGGACAGAAAGATCTTTTACTATAGGCCCTGTATCAGTACACAGAGTGTCTTCCCTGTTAGCATAGGCTGAGCATATCGTGTCCTATCATGCTTAAAAGTCGGTTTGATTTAACTGCTGGTGTTGCAAAGCCAGGGAAAACAAACAAAAAACCACACACCCAACAAAAAACACCCACAAAAACCGAAGCAACAACCCACCCCCCAAACTTCCCTTGGAAAGCCCAGGCTAAGAGAGAGCTATAATCCCAATAAGTAATGCTAACCTAGCTGATTGTGTTAGAATCTCTCACAGAGCACCTCCGTGAGCAGCTCAGCTTGCAGGCTGAGGATACAGAATCTTCAAGTGACTGGACTGAAGGCAAAATCCTGTGGGTCACCCTGCCATAGCAGAAGAAACCCTGTTACAGCCTCAACCAGTTCCACGTGAAAAAAAACCAAAAACAAACAAACAAAAAACCACCACAAAAAAAAAAAAAAGGCACTGCATGACCAGAGCTGACACCAGTGCAACTGGTGCAAGGGCTTCTATACTAACTAAACTAACTAAAGCATTTTCACACTGATTTTGCAGACACAGTGGCGAGCAAAAACACATTCGCAAACTGGAAATGTCAAACCAGCACTGGTACTTTTGCCACAGAGAGGGGATTTCTCTTTGTAAACCTCCACAGGGATAGGGAACTGAGGTAATAGAGAGAGGAAGAGAACACAAGCAACTCAAAAATATTTCTGCTAGTTCAGATTTCAGCCAGCTTGGCAAGCTCTTTCGCGATGTTTAAACACAACAGACCCTGAGTCACTAGCCTTAATTCAGCTCCAGGCCTTCCGTGCCTCTGATCCCAATCCAAGTACTACTAACGCAAGACTTTTATCAAACCTTCGCCCTGGCTACTCCATCCAGATGAAAGATATCCACAGCTGCCTCGTCGTCTCTTGTAGGGGCAGCGTTATGGCCTGTCTAAACTAATAGCTGACAGTTCCTAGAGGTATTTACATAGTTGAAGCTGTAGCTTTAGATGTGTCCCAACTACTTTCGGTTGTAAAACATGATGGACCTGAGACACAGTGTCACATCCTTAGATACGCTCCACTTCCCCTGCCAGTTCTAGTGAGGATTTTTTCCCAAGAGTAAGAAAAATATTTGCCCCAAGGTGAAGCGAGATGCTGCACTTAAGGAACTAATTTTATTTTGTACCAGCTGGGATTCGGCCACCTGTAGGAAATATAAACAGCCTCTTTCTTCTTTGAAAGTCATAGAAGGAAAGAAATACCACATCCGAAACACGGCAGTGGAAAAAAACCCCATGTTTGAAGGTGCAGGAATGGACAGTCGCACGTGTGTGTCGCTACAAAGCATTCTGGGGGAACCAAAGAAAGTTTCGTTTTCGCCGGTTAAGAAAGCACAGCAAAATTACTCGAGGCCAAAGGGATTTTAGCAGAGTCCAACAGTTACTGGAGGCAAGTGGAGAGCAACCTAGGAGACGGAAGAGTCTCCTTACCGTACAGCAGTTGCGGAGGACGCGAAAGAAAGGCTCATTTCATGCCGCAGCCCTTCCTTCCCTCCCCCAGACTGCACCTGCACATCAAGAGCAAATCGAAACCAGTCTATTCTAAACCATGGTCTCATTTATTTTGAGGGACCCAAAGCGAGAGCGAGGCTGAGCCAGCATAACCAACAGAGAAACTTGTTTCTCAGCATGATTGCCCCTCTCCGGTGGCAAAGGCCTGGCCAGTACCTTCAGGATCACCAAGCTAGCTGAAAGTAGGGCATGCCCATTAAGCTCCCAATCCTTCTTACAGCGCTGCGAGAGCTTGCACATGTCTTTCTCCTTTGGGTTTTAGCCAGAGACCAGCCCTTTTGGGCACCATAACACAGCTGAATGGTTTAGCTCCTTTTGTTCCAGCTGACAAACAACTTAGCCCTCCCCTGCCGGCAACAATACAACTGGAGCTAGGATTTGCGTGTCCTCTGAGCAAGGATACAGGCTTTGTGCCTTGCTGAGCTGTCTTTGCAAGGACTGCCAACACTCACAGCTGATTAAGCCTGCAGTGCTCTCTCCTTTTTCCTGCTCACGGACAGATGTCAGGAACAAGCTGAGCGAAACAGCACATGCAGCTAGAGCCCTGCGCCTAGGAACATTAAAGCAGACTATTAGGGATTAAATAAATTAAAGCAGAGGGGAGTTTAACACATTTTCTCTAGACTTCATTTCTACCTGGCATGCAATTCTGAGTAAGAAACATCCCAGCCTTTCAAAGAAACGCTTTATTCTCGAAGGTGGCTCAACTCAGTAGGCAGGAAGGACTCTATTTGGAAAGCTTTTGCCACCACCACGTGGCTGAAACCATGGCTGCAGCTCACCAAAAAGCCAGCAAGGAGCAGCCCCACTGCCAGGGCAAACTGAGGCAAGCATTCGCAGGTTTTAGCACCCATGCTGCATACCCAAATAAAGAGCATACAACTGATCATTAAATATTACATATTTCATTGACTTTGAACTCCAAAACACACTCACAACTTGCAGTAAGAGTAAGGCATGAATTACTGTTGATAACCTGCCAGTTAAGGGCTATAAACAGCATAAACTCAGCTTGAAAGAGACAACATGCGTTTCCTGTGTGTTGCTGTAGCCCAGCCTTCTGTGTTTCATCTCCAGTCAGCTGCAGGGTTGCTAGGGTTATCCTGGGCTTGACAGACTAGGGTTGCCTGTTATCCCAGGCCTGATAGAGCTTTAAAGAAAAAGGCTACATGTAAAAGAAAGCTAAAGTGCTAGATTATCTTCCTTAGTCCCTTCCTCCCCAGTTAGGTATCAGGCATGGAAATGCTGAGCCCTTCACTGGGCAGATGTTCACACAGCTGGATTGTTAACTGCCAATTGCAGTCTCTCTAGAAGCTGCAGGACAGCCTTCCTTCCCCGTTATTCTCTTGGTGGGGTGACAAAACCTGGCAGTGAGGTTTCACATTAGTCCAGGGTGCTATATTTCAACTGCAAGAAAAAAGCAGCCTGCTTGCTGCCTCTTCTCTAGCACTTTAGGGACACTGAGATACTCAGCTGTGACATGCAACATTTGGGATAGTGGCCTGTTCTTCTGATACTCTCTCAGTAAAACACATCACCCCTGGCCACTGGCAAAGCGGGTGGAACTCAAACTTGATCATAAAATGGGACTCGGATGCAATAATGGATAGGAATCCCCAGTTCAAACTGCCCTCCCTCTAAAACCTGTATGTTATCCACTGAGCAGGAATCAAGGTTTTTTTGAGAGATTAGCAGCTAGGAACAGCTCTGGATAAGTGGTCATGGCAAGTCAGGAAAAAAAAACACCTTCCAAGCATAATTCCAACTGCAGTAGCTTGAATGCCTGAAGAAGTGAAAGAACCTAACGAACGTGGCTGAATTCTCACGACGAGAAGCTAGTCGTCGATGGCGTTCCTCATCAGCAAGCCAAAGAAAAAGGCTGAAACTCCTGGTACGTGACCAGCGCTGATCTGTAATATCCGGAGCAGTCGCCGAGCAGTGGCAGCTCGTACCCCTTCCAACTGGAAACAAAACGGAGAAGTTATTTAATCAGTAGAAAAGAAAAGCAGTGCTAAGCTGTGATAAAAGCAAGAACCAGAGCGGGTATTAAGTATGGTTCAGAGCCACTAGCTACAGAAAACCCCAAACAGGCCCATTTTCTCCCCGAATGTTGAGGAAGGTACAGTTTTGTCAGCTGAAACCCCTAAAGGGCTTGCCAAAGGCACAGGCACTACCTGCTGGTAGGGAAGCAGTCTCTGAGGGCGGAATGACAAGTACACGGAAAAGTGAAGCATGCTACCACTGAATGCCACTCTCCCTCCAGCTTTTCAGACCAAGCAGGTAATTAGAAAGAGCGACATATCAGACGGCAAAATAGCCTGTGAAGCAACAAAGCCTGGCTAACAGGAAGCATTACTTGGGCAAGTCACATGGCAAACAACAGCTCAGGGGATCCCAGGAAGAGAAACGCCGCAAGGAACAAGCGTACCAAGGCTTTGCGTATCAGAGAAGTCTTTGTTAATTTAGACTTGGCTTCCTGAGGCTCTGAAGTAACACAGGAAGGAGCAGGTAGCCTAGAAGACTGATTTCAAGGACAGTCAGACTCCTGTACCACTACTGTTCTTGTAGCAAGAGTCTAGTCTGACACTTATACAAGCCAGTAGCATATGTACATATATTTATTGCTGCTGTAATGATGTTCCTAAGGATCATAGATGAGTGGAATCCACAAATCCCTTCAGATACCAAATAAGCACCTTACCTCCAGCTCACACAGCAGCACAGGACTGCAGTAGACTTCTCCCAGTTTCCAGACAGCGTTCATCTCTATGCTGCAGTAGTTCACCCTGCCAACTACAGAAAGTTTTCCCATGTTACGAGCCCATAATCAACATCCAGTGAAGAAAACTACTGAGAAAGTCCACATACACAAAATGATCCAGAGCTGGTTTTGAGCACTGCGGAAAGTAAGGCAACAGTGAGCAGTACAGGGCGATACAAGATTTGCAACAGAACTAGCACAGAAGTCGTTCATAATACTGACAGCAGTAATAGTACTGCCACATTTATGAGTACTGCAACCTTAACATTTTGGATAAGGGAAGAGTACACTATCAGCAGGGATAGAATCTTCTACTCATTAATCAGAAGTCCTCCTGGCTCAAATGGTATCACGGTGATATCTCCAAGGTCTTCATCTCATGAGGGGAGCCATAGCAGCATGCCAAGGCTCTTTTCCACCCCAGAATTAGGTTTCCTGGCTCACAAATTCCAGGGACACAGCACCTCTGTTCCAACACGGAGCAGTATAGGCTGGGCTCTCCAGTTCCTCAGAGCTGAAGTAGGGAGGGTATGCAGAAAAGCACCCTCTCCACTTTTGGAGCGGGGGGGAAGAGAGACTAAAGGCACAACAGAGCCAGACAGTACACAGCAGGGATACCAGTTTTGTAATAAAACTATACTTAATAGTTTAGTAGCTCATCCATTTAGATTCATTTTATTACCACAGTATCATATGCGCCTCACTGCTCATTAAGATTATCATTAAGAGATCTGCAAGAGCAGATAGAACAGACTTCTGCAGTGCCACAGGAAAAAAATAAAAATCAGTAACATAAATCATATTTGGGGATTAGGGACAGAGGAGAGAGACTCTGAGGTCTGACTGGCAAAAATGAAAAGGAGAGAGCAAGTGAGCACAAGAAAATAGTGTTTTATAAAAAGACAGAGGAGTTCAGATATAATTTAAACAAAGTTGAAACAAAACAAAGGAAACCAGTAGCTTTGAAAGCTAAGTCACTGCCCAGTTTTCAGGAGATCAACAGTGAGTTGTGCTGCTCAGAGAGGACGAAGAGGGCAGGTGCCATACGTACCCCCAGTGACCAGAAAGCACACTTTCCCCAGGAAGAACTGGACATCCACGTGAGCTAGGGAAGCTTCGACATTCTTCAAGCTGTCAGAGAAGCACAGACAATCCAGTTGGACAGGAAGGTAAAACCAGCGCAGCGTAAGGACAAAGGGAATAACTCGCAGAAGCACAATTAGAAAACCAGTGATGTTAACATCTGTTGATCTGTGAGCCAGCGGAGCTATGCTCCATGCTAAAAGCATGGCAGCAGAGACCTCTGCAATACCCATGGCTGTTCAATAATCCAGCACATATCCTTTCTGCCCAAGACTCGGTTAGGCTTCGTCTGAATGGTGGTCCTCCATGATTTGCAGACACTAAGCATCCAAACTCATTAACATCCAACGAGACTTGAGCACTACTTCGGCTCTTTCAGAAGAGCTAGCCCACACATTTCTGCAGCACCATCTGCGCTTGAAGTATGCAGCTGGGCCCGTCATTTTTGGTAAATGAGAGCCCAGGCTCATCATCAGTCACAAGTGAAGTAAGTAATAAAATGCTGACTTTTGTGCCTTAGCAAGTCTTTGCTTATGGCCCGGGGATGCAAATATTTCTACAAAGATGAGCACAAGATGAGAGAAAAGGGATCAAGCCCCACAGACCTTTCTCTTTTGTCCAGAGCCATCCATAGTGCTGATCCCACTTGACCAGCAGTATGAACGCAGCAACCGGCTGGGTATTAGGTAGCACTGCCCAGCGTGCATCAGCCATCTGCATATTACAGAACTTAACAGCACCACCGTCATTTCCACCTAATTTTGCAGACAGCATCTTTCCAAAGTTCAGTTCCTATCATCCCATGTCTGGATCCAGGAATAAATTCTGTCTTCTCTGCTATGGCAACTTAGTGCCCAACAGGCATGATACTAGGCAGAGCAGTTCAGTCCTAACCCATTGCCAGAGGCTAGAAAACCACCGTATGTATTACTGAGCTCTCCCACCACAGTAAGTCTTGGGTTTGAAATCTACTATTCAGCAATTCCAACACAGTAAAAAAAAAAAGAACAGATTTAGCCATCAATCCGACGAATAATGTTTCCCCCTTCATATCTTTGTCTTTCTTTTACCTGTATTTGCTCTTGATGTCAATTATAAACACAATCAGGTCTATCCTGGGCCGAAGGTGATCCCTCTCAGAAGGTAAGGGGAGGGATGTAGCAAGGTGACTGAAAGATAATAAATTGGTCAGTTTAACCAAACAGCTTGGCAAGGCAGCATCCACTTAGCCATAACCACATAACCACTGCAGCTCACCACATAGCAAGTCACCAGGAAGCCCGCTAATCACTGAATACGTAGGCACTGAATAGACATTGTGATTCTCTAAGCGGTGTTCTCCTATCCTGAGCCTACTCACGGTTGCTGACAGCCACGATGACAATTTGCTAGACAAGGTTGTTTACAATGGGAAGCTTATTAGAGCATAACAAGGCTCTCGGAAATATTTTCTCCCCACAGATCTGTACAGCAGTCATTTAATTGTTAAGAAGAGTCCCTTCTAACCAAGCGAAACCCAGTGCTCTACTGGTATACTGCGCTGCCAAGTTTCAGTGAAAACACATCAGTGCTTTCTGGTCGCAGCAGCTACCTTCTCAGCTGTCCATGTTACAGAAAGTTGTGCTGTATTCACAAAACCTTAAACCAGAAATCTGTGACTAGTGTAGCTTTATAGATGAAGTTAAAACTCCGGAAAAGCTTACCGCTTCTATTAGACCATTATCCCACTTTGTGTCCCTTTCACTCCATCCAGAGTTACTCGGTCAGTTTAGGTGTCCCTCTACACAACAACACCACTGCTGATAAAGCTGTTGGAAGAATTACAGGGTGAGGAGTTTGTGTCTCGTCCCACTAGATGGGGAGGAGGAAAGTTTCAGTAGTGCATATCTGGGCCTTCCACAGGGAAGAATAGTATCAGCACTGTATTTTTGTGAAATCACCTGAAAGATAGATTGGACGACCAAAAATCCCAGCATTTCAGTCTCTCTCACAATCCACTTCCAGGGAGGAAGTAGAGGGAATAACACTGATCTTGGGGTCCTTTGGGAATATTGCTTCTAACAATTAAATTTCAAGGACTTAAGAGTTTTCCCCAGCAGACAGACCACAGCACACGTTTTCTTCTATCATGTCCAGTTTGTAGTTTTTGTCTGCCAGACTCCAGATGAAGGTGGTTTGTTTCCTATTTGTAAGACAGAATGCTTTAATGAAGACATGCTGAAACTAACGAGCCAAGCGTGCTTGAAAGACAAATTGCAAGACAAACAAGCTTACAAATTTAAGGTGAAATTTAGGGACAAGATGGGATGAAAATACCAGATCTCACTGTCTGGGGAGGGGAGGAAAGCTCCATGATTTGGAATTCTACCATATTTAAAGCACCATCACTAAGTGATAGCAGCCTCCAGATCTGTGCTACAGAAGCCTTCCCCCCCATCAGGAAGATACACAAAAAACCCAGCCCTGCAATTCTTCTCCCAACAGCTGTATCTGGCATATACCTGCCAGACAAGGGACCATATTACTCTGTAATGTGGATAATCCCAAAGCAACACAGGGGGGAGGAAAAACTGGACTTCTATTTCCCTCGTTATACCAGCACAGGGAATTATCTTGTTCTGTGCTAGAAGCGTAGGTTTCCACGCCTTTGGGTAGTTACCCAGATGTAGCAGCCATCTAGTTATGCCACTCCACAGCTCACCTGAGGCCACAGGATTTGCATAGAATATCAGGTAATTTATTTAGTATGAGCATAAACATCCAAGGTGCCATGAACAGAGCAGTCCAGTCACTCTGACTGGCTCGTACATTAGCTCGGGCTTGCCTTCGCTGCGTGGTCTTGGATTACAGCAGTGAAATAACACAAACACCTTCTGAAGAGCTGACTAAACTCATTTGGTCTTGGCAAGAGAGCTGTCAGGGACATTATATCATAAGAAGTTAGTTAATCAAGCTTTTAAGACAGAACTCGTCACGCAGTTAAAATTCCAAATGCATCTTAATAGCTTGAGGAGAAAAAGCACGTGCATGCATACAAACCAGAAAAGGGCTCTGAAAAGCACCAAAGAGTAATGGACATCTCTGGGGAAAACTTGTTGGGTTTCAAGTGGTTGCAAGCATCGTACTTGTCCCAGTTTGTCCCTGGGTGTTTAATTCCCGTTTATGTCTGTCTCCCGGCAGAAAAAAAGAGATAGTTCTGAGCTCTCTCATGCCCTTCCAATTTATTAATCAAACACCTCTGTAACATGCAAAGGGCAGTGGTACGTGCTAAGGGGACACGACAAACACGCGAGAATTATCTCCAAATCTTTGGGCGTGATTATTTGCAATGCATTCCTTCTGACCAAGCGCGGGCTGCCCGCCGTGACGGGAGGG